TTTCATAACTGAATGAGATAGTGCATGTAGAGTTCACTTGATACGTCAACATGTAGCACATGCTCAATATTCAAAATCAAGCTTTTCAATGTTTTAAAAAAATTGATTTTTCAAATGCTCCACCCATCTTAAGAATCCCTGCTCTACAGGTGCCCATGATTGTTTAGTGCACACGATCTCCATTCCTCACTCATTTCAATTTTTGTTGTTGCCCATAATTAACTGTTCCACCAAATTATCACTGTATCATAATCGGTATTGTAAATAATCACCAACATTTGTTAAGTGATTACTTAAAAAAAATGAGGTCTGTAACAAAGTTAAAAACCATGTCTAGCATACAATTAAGTATGATTCATTTTTTTACATTTTTAGAACTTTTTATGCTGTTACTTCAAAAAAACGGTCAAAATATCTTAGATTTCAATGGTTTGGGAAATATTAACATCTGGGGGACGATTAAAAAGACTTTTTGGATGTCAGTCTGGCATATTTACTTAGAGATTTAAATATCAGAATAAAATATTTCAAGTACATTTTTTCTTGGGATTGGAAGTACATAGAAAACAAAACCTTATCACCAGTCACATATCCACCTGCTCATATACACCTTATCAATTATTGCTATGTATTTTGTGGGATCTAAAAAAATACTGCCTTCCAACATGAAGAGCTTCTTCTCTATAGGGAGAATGTTAGGTTAGGCTAATAAATGAATAAACTGTTTCAGGCTTTCTGGGGGTGTTTTCAGTAACAAAGTAAATTGCATGCTTTTCTAACTTTGTTAGGGCTTTCCGTGGTGGCTCAGTCAGTAAAGAAATCCACCTGCAATGCAGGAGACCTGGATTCAATCCCTGGGCCAGGAAGATAACTGGAGGAGGGCATGACCACCCACTTCAGTGTTCTTGCCTGGAAAATTCCATGTACTACAGATCATGTACAGATCTTAATGGGCTACAGATCATGGAGTCACAAGTCTTAAGAGACTGAACCACCATCACCACCATTATCTTTGTTGAAAAGACAATTCGCCTCTACCCCGCCCCCAAACTTAAAAACTTTTCTGCCCCAGACAGAAAAGTAAACAAGGCAACACCTAAAATCAGCGTTCTTATTCTGCCACTTTTACACCTAACACTGGCAACTAGGTGGCTGAGAAGACAAAGCAACACCTGAGATGTTATCAAAGTAACTTAAAACCCTTTAAGTTCAACTAGTTAAGATTGTCTAATAACCTCTGTGAATGTGAAGAATCTTCAATGTGAAGCCTAGAAAAAAAGACCAGAACTCATCTTTGTGGCACTGATCTCCAGCAGATCAGCATGTGTCAGACCATCAAGGCGGGGCAGAGATGGCCAGCTCCAGCCACTGGGCTTCAAGTTTGAACTAATCATTTCCATGAGAACTGGTCTTGCAGAAAAATGCACTTATTAAGCACAGCTATCCAGGTCTTCATTTACTCGCTGCAAATTAATAGGGACCATGGTTTTACATCAAAAGAGTAAGAAAATTTCAAAGTACTCTCTAAAATGTCACTCATTTGTGATCCATTGGTTTGGCAGAGGTATAATCAAAGGTAGCATCCTGTAAACAAGATACAGTAGCTTGTTTTAGCCATGCAACTTAGTGTGCATGCTATACAAAAGGAGATTCTAGGCTAAAAAAGCAGTTTCCAAGTAGCCATTATCATCTCCTGTCAATAGAAGCAGCCGTAAGCCTTGTAAGATACGGTAGCATCCTTCACTGTGCTTCATTTCAAATCCTACCTGAAGCTGGGTGTGCTCAGTCATGTCTGACTCTTTGCAACCCCATGGACTGTAGCCTAGACTCTCCAGGCAATACTGGAGTGGGTTGCCATGCCCTCCCTCCAGGGGATCTTCCCAACCCAGAGACTGAACCCAGATTTCCCGAATACATGCAAATTTTTTACCGCTTGAGCCACCAGGAGTGCTCAGCCATGTATTTATCAGACACTAGTCAGTTATCATCTGTGAAGATTGTTTTCTGAAGTCTTGCTAACATTGAACCTAGTAAATAACTGAATCACTGCTCCTAGGGGAAATAAGTTAGGTACCTATAAGCCTACCACATTTTCATCAACTGACATACAGCTTTGTTTCTGTCTTAAGACACCTCATTTAAGATATATTGATAACACTGAACCCACAGCTGACAGCTCTATAACTTATGCCCAAATGAAACTTACATTTTTCTCCAGAGGGGCCATTTAAACAGTAAAATCATACACACACTCACTCACAGACACACATAGCATAAGAATGTCAAAGTGAGACACAAACAGGCCTTGAAACGGACACTTGTTTTTGAGAGCTGAAACAAGGCATTTTCTAGTTTGGCTGGAAACACGTGGATTTCAGGTGACTCATTTTTCAACGTTATGTGCTATCCGCAGATGACTAAAGTCTGTTTGCACAAAGATTTTGTGGGTGACAAGTAACTTTTGGTTGACTAGGTAAACTTACAAATACACAATCAATGAACATTTTTTTCCTATGTCAACTCCTACAAGTAGATTACAGACATCTACTTGGTGTCTCCTCCAAGAGAACAGACATTTCAAAATCAAATGATATCTTTGTATCACACAAGAAATACTGAATTCTAGCTATCCAACATACAAAGCAAACTACTGTCTGTGAACATTATCTGCAACTCTAGATCTGGAATGGTTTTCAACTGTGAGAACTTTAGCTCAAGACATCTTAGAAGCTGCTCCTTTAAAACGTGAAGGCTTGAACCATTCTGTATTCAAATTGAGATATATCCCTGCCTTCTTAAAGCACTGAGGAAAGCCTTCATGATTCATAAAAACTGTTTTCATCTCAACAGTCAGGGTAGGACTACAGCCAGGGAAAATACAAAATCATCACGTTAATAATGCCTACTAGGTGCATAATATAAGCCATGGGGCAGGAAGTGGGGTTTGTGTATCTTGAGTTTCAGAATAAGGTGAAACGTGTTCCAGGTACAGAAGCATGGTTAAGGCTTCAATATGCAAGGAGGGCAGGCACTGTCATAACTAAGGTTTTAGACTTATTTGCTCCCAAAGGCAAGACAGTTGAGGTAATTCTAGCATGGTGATAATCAGATATGCAATTCACAAAGCAAACTCTGGCAGTAGTGTGTAGAGAATGAAATTGAGTTGAAACCAGATCATTCTCTAAAGCACACTGAAACTGTCAGGGATACCTGTTTAATGTGTATGCCCCGGGCCCCAATCCTGATGTTCTAAATCCACTTCTCTCAATGTAGAAATCCTATTACCTTCATTATTTAAAAGTACTTTGGATGATAAGGTATTATACTGAGTTAAGTTGCAATAATCAATAAGTCAAATTACAAGTCTATAAAATTAAGGCTTAAAACTAATCCTAAGTACACTTAATGTAACTAGTTTTTGGTATAATTTTTATATTATCTACACCTTCCTGTCCAGCAAACACAGTAGTTATTACTGTTTTATACCACATAAGTAATAGTTTAAAAGCTATCTCCCAGCTTAGAAACCTTAACGTATCATATATTGAAATCACATGGAAATCTGACTTCATAAAATGCATTAGAAGCATTGTCTTATGTCTCCTCCATAATCCTAATAAATTTCTGAAAAACAATCAGTACCTTTGTTATGAAAGAGGCTCTTAACGTCAGTTCCAACTATCACCTATTTTCCCAAGCCAATTACAAAGAGATATAAAATAGCATAACATCACTGTGCACTGTTTAAGGAATTTTTATTAAAGCAAGAATTTTATAATCCAAATTACGTTTCCTTGCTCAGTTATCAATTCTGTTACTTAAAACAGAAGTGACACTCTGAGCTATTCCACAGTAAAGAATTACAAAATTAAAGAAAGGAATGCTTTAAATTTTTGTACTTTGCTGAAAATTCTTTTTCCCATGGTCTATAAAACATTAATTTGTTTTTATATTTTACTATTTTTTTGTGTTTTTTTTGTTGTTTTTAAATCAATAAGTAATCTAGGACTAGCACTATGTTTGCTAGACCTGGCATTTGCTCGGTACATAAGGTTCAAAGTTTCCTTTCCTTTTTTTATTTATTTTATATTTTGCAATGTTTTTTTTCCATAATATTTAAGTTTTTCGATGTTTAGGTATTTTTCTTCGGTGAAGCACGAGTTTCTTCTCATGGTCCCTGATCGTCTGTAAATGTGGGGAAAAGAGATGATGGTCATCAAATTTAAGACACAGAACATAATGATTCCAACCACTAAAAAGAAAGGACATTTACCTAAGTGACAGAAATGCTAATTATAGCTATAATGGCAGTCATATTTTACAATATATAAATGTATCCAATTAACACGCTGCACACCTTAAAATTTAAACAATGTTGTTATGTCAAGCATTTGAATAAAAACACAAGTAAGAGGACCAATACTGGCACTTGGCAGTATGCAAGCCCTCAGCCACGCTCAGCCTGTTGAGAGCCTGTCTCTGAAAAGCTCTACGAACCACAGCCACCCCTGCTCAAGCTGCGGGGCGGCTCTCCCATGGTGACAGCGGGGCAGAGGAGCTTCAACACGGAACATGGCCCGCACAGCCCCAGAGATTTCCTCTTTTATAGGAAAGCTTTGTACACGCCTGGCTCTGGCTACACAGCTATATCACCCTATTTCTTGGGGGTAATGAAAGGCAGTATTAGAGACCAAAAAACAACTTTATCACTGCCACCCAAGAAAATGTATTAAGCTATGAAAGTCCTTCAAGAATAGCTATCTACACAGGGCCAATCCATGTTACAGCCATTTAACACAAATTACTATGCAAAATGTCTGAAGGGGTCTTAATCTCATAAATTCAAGTCTATACCAGGGTTAACAGGTAGTTAATTCCTCTGTATCTTTACTTCTCTTTGAAAAACTGGCAATGCATTTGGATTAGTGATAAAATGAGTTTCTGCTACGTTTCAATACATGCTCAAACTGTGAGAATAAGAACGACAAGGCAGGCTCACTTTAGACAGTCGGAACCCCGGTGGCACTGTTAACTGCTTTCTGGGCAGCCTCTTTTGCTTGGTGGGCTTGTAGTACAGCTACAGCTTCATCAACCTGAAAAAACGAAGACAAACTGGGTCTGAAAAACAATAATTAGAAGATAGCTTCAAACCGCCAACCTACACATGTCCAACAAAAGCAAACTTCTTTCCTCAGATCAAAGTGTTAATGACTGCTACAAAAAAAACCCCAACATTCCAACTATACATCTGTATCCTTTGGGCTCTATTCCACCACTGTTTTGGAATTATTAACCTCTTGTACTTCCTACTCTCCCCCCACCAAAAATCCCCCAAAGTTCAGAAATATCAGCAAATATCCCTTTCTTAAATACAGACGAGCACAGCTAAGAGTTAATGGACACTGGAGTTACAGTGACTGGATCTGAAGCCGAGCTCTGCCATTCACTAGCTGCTTTGTGAGCAACTGGGCAAATTATTCAACCTCTCTCTGCTTCAGGTTTCCTGTCTGTGTCTATAAAATAGTGGTAACAGCACTATAGTTATTAGGATTTTCAATTAATATTTATAAAGCTCTTAGAACTGTGCGTGACTTGTACAAAGCACTTATAAATGTTCTACAAAACATCCTGGAATACGTAGTATAAGAAGCTGGTAGGTAAATGATAAATTTAAATTACTTTAGAACGGAGAGACTCTGGAGACTCAAGCATATGAAGAAGTTCTGAATTATCAATCTCCAACAACATGCCAGTGATTTTACCAGCAAGAGTAGGGTGCATGGCTTGAATTAGAGGAAAGAGCCGTTCACCTAGGAACAAAAACATTCAAAAACCCCTTCAATCAAAAAAAAATTTTTTTAAGGCATCTACTATAGTAAAACTGGGGTTTATGAACCCTTCGTATACAGCAAATAAATGTGAACCCATAATCCACCATTTCAGTATCTTTCATGAGATGATCAGTATAAAATGGATTAAGATCTACCACAAGGCAATTAATTCTTGGAAGCATCAGTTTGCCGAACAAAGATGAAATGAAGCTACGTGTTAAATCTGTGCTCAGTCAAAACCAAAGTGACTTACTCACTTGGTTCAAATTTCAAACTCCTCCTTCAGAAAATGTGGTAGGATACCTGGCAAGTCATGCCCCATTACCCTGTCCCTCAAAGGCAACATTTAAATAGTTTTCCAGGCTTTTAATGAGTTAGGCAGACAAACTGCCATGGTAATCATTCATACCAATTCAGATCCCGCCACGCTAACTGTCATTTTTAGGTGCAAAGGCAGTCTAAGTGTCTTCCTATTTTCTAGTCTCTTACTATAACTGACCAGGTGGGACAAAGGTACTTACCCAACATTTGCTTCTGCTCTTGAGGAGGGGCAGATGCCAACATGGAAGCAGTCAGAGGCTCCTGACCTTGTACATGAACAGCGGGCTAGAAAGAAAATGGGAAAATTCCTAAGTACAGAAGTAATGACAAGCACAAATACAGTCATCACTGGAAAATAACTGGATAAAGACCATAATCTAAACATAAACAGGAGAAGCTGAGTGAACCAGAAAATGCAGCCTAAGGCAGCTATTAACACCGAAGTGCTCAAGTATTATAAGCACAGGGATGTTGAATTTTCTTTATCTGGGGTAGTCTTTGGATCCGTACTTCTAGTATAATCAACCACAATTTTGGTCCCAGGGGTCAAAAAAAACAAAAAAAACAGTAAGCCAAATCTTACAACCTTTATTTCACCCCTTCTTACAACTATGCCAAATAAAACTCTCAAATCACATAAGCAATTCAGGAAGGGAAAACGCTGCTCTAGTTCCTCAAGTATAGCACATATTTTTACATACTAGCCATTAGTAGGACTTCAACAAGATGTTCTAGATAGCTTAAACTCTCACACATCATACAGCTGTCCTCAAAGTCTTTGCAATCAAGGACTGTCATCTTTATCATAAAGAAGCCATCAAATCCACACCTGTTGCATGGTGACTTGTGGCTGTGCATTAAGATGTTGCTGAGGATTGCGAACTCCCGCAGCATATTTGTACTGTGGAACGGTGCGAACAGCAGGAGTAGCTGCAGCAGCAGCAGCTGCGGGACGTGGACCCATCGTCTGTGTTGATGTGTTAGCTAAAAAAATAGAAACATTTTTTGTATTTATCTTTGTATTTCCAATTGGAGACCAACTTTTATGGGAAGGGTTAAGACTCACCAACACGCTGTGTCGACATGACTCGTGGAACCTGTGAAGAAGCTGGTCTCATAGTACTAAATGGTGGTCTAGGAGCGGCTGGGCGGATAGCACCGGGCATATTTTGGAATGCTACATTTAAAGATATGAACACACATTAACTGGGAAAAACTGTGTTCATCTTGCTTTTTCAGATTTGCACAAAAGACTAAAAATGATCAAATATAAACAAGTATATTTTTTAAAAGCTTAGGCTCCTATTTGCCATTTCTTCAGACTTTTATGCCACTTCATATCAGATCATAAAAATATGAAATGGAGTTGGATGCATTCTCAAACTTGTGATGAAAAGAGAAAAAAAAAATCAAACCAGCATATATTTTACTAACATTTTAAGATTCTTTTTAAAGAACAAAATGCTAAAGATGCCCAAAATGAACACCTGTAACTATAAATTACGGAAAGCAACAGCTAATATACCATTGAGATATAACAGCTAATTTGCCTCATTTATGTTTTTAGTTCAAATACTTTGCAACTTAAAAAAAGGCTTACGATGAGGTCTGGCACCCTGAGCAGTCCAGCGAGGACTTGGTCTTAGTTGAGCAATTTGGCTAGGAGGATAGTATGCAGCACGGTTCTGAGTCTGTAGGAAGCAAGCAAATGTATCAATCATAGAAAAAGCAAATAATACAACACATTATGCATGTTCAAAATATTTAACAGGTCCTCACTCCAGGAAACATCCCCAAGAGGGCACAGCAACCCACTCCCATTTTCTTGCCTACAGAATCCCAAGGACAGAGGAGCCTGGTGGGCTACAGTCCATAGGGTCGCAGAGTCAGACAGGACTGAAGTGACTTAGTACATAGCATGCACACTTTTAAGCCTTTTTCAAATCCAATCATAATTCACATCTCAATGTTTTCATCTTAAGACTTTACTCTTTTTTTTGGGGGGGGGGGGGGACAAAACATTAAAGGTGACCAAACAGGAAAACCTTCATGAGGTTTTTGTCCTCTTCTAGAACCTACCTGTGGGATAGCTGCCATGAAGTAACCTGAAGGAGGTGCTGGCTGGTAGGGGTTGATTACGGGGTTGGGCACAGCTCTTACACTTGCCATCCTCTGCATATACTGGTTAGTGAGGTGAGCCTGGCGCTCTTCTTTGCGCTGAGCTAAAGCTACATACAATGGCTTGGTGGCCACAATTCTACCGTTCATTTCCGTAACTGCTTTAGTAGCTTCTTCTGGGGAGGAGAAACATACAAAACCAAAACCTTTGCTGCGACCACCCTCCATCATAACCTATTGAAAGAAAATTAAAAAACCACACAATTAATGCAATGGAAGGATGAGGCATTAAGAACAGTATCAACTTGAGCCACCAACTCACACTTAACTAAACCCTGTCAATACTTTCATCATTTTCCCCACAACTTTCCCATTAATATCCAAATACTAAGGGTAAACTACATGTAAGCATTATCCTAGCCAAGCAAAAGTAGAGGCAGAGACACAACAGAAACTTTAAGGTTTTCAGATTTTCAATATTAAGGTTTAATGTCTAAATACATTCAAAGCCTACTAAATTTACTTAGTAAAAAATTTAGAAAAATGCACAATTAAAATCTGACTATTCTAACAAGTCAAGCTGACAAGATGCTTTATTACTCTTTGAGGGGAGGAAGCAGTTGAGTCTCATTTTACAATTAAAATTTCACATTCACAACCGTAAGGGCCATAAATATTGGGGTTTAAACATTCAGAAAACTTCACAATAACTCCAAAGATTTTTTAAACAAGCAGTAAGGAAATGAACTACTCAGTAGACCTACATATAAGCATGCTATACAGCTGTATCAAACAGCATGCTGGTGACATAGGAGCAAACAGAAGAGCAATAAAACAGACTCATGATCGTACATAAATGTGGAATCAAAACAAAACAAAACACTGGCCTCAGGGATACAGAGACCGGATTGGTGGCTGCCAGAGAGACAGCGGGCTTGAGGAAACACATGAAGGTGTTTAAAAAGTACAAACTCCTAGGCATAAAGTCACAGGGAAGCAATGACTAGGGACGCAATGAATAGGATGTATAGGGACAGTGTGGGAACTACAGTTAATATGAGTTACTTATCTGAAAGTTGTATAGAGTGGATCTTTAAAGTTACCATTACAAGAAAAAAATATTTTTAATCTATGGTAATAAATGTTAACTAGACTTATTGTGGTGATCACTCTGCAGTATACACAAATATTAAACAACTATGTTGTACATTTGAATATGTTTTATGTCAGTTACATCTCAGAAAGAGTCTAGAAATATACCCATGCAAGTATGGGAACTTGGGATGTTAAGCTTACATTTTAAAACAGTGGGTAAAAGATGGACTTTGGACTATCTGGCATATGGTACAACGGGATAATTCTGAATTAACGTAGAGCTTATATTCACATCACATTGAAACAGTTCCAATTGCCAGATAGATTCTGACTCTGAACAAAAAATGCAAAATACAGGGAAAATCTAAGATGACACAAGACCCCCAAGTCCTAAATGGAAGACCTAGAAAAAATTTTTGCAATATAAAACAAAGAGCTGACATAAAATTCTCCCTATGAAATCAATAAACAGTGCAATGTAAAAACAGGCAAAGAATAGGCTAAACAAGTAAACACATAAATAACATGTCTCATTTAAAAAAATGTGTATCACTTTCTACTAACTCGCCAAGACTAGTAGTAATTTGTTCAGCCTTTTTGAACAATTCTGTCATATTAAATATACATACCCACTAACCAGCAATTTCAACTCTAGGACTTCAGAAATACTGGTATGTATGTGTGCAAAGATATATGAGGATGTTACAGTGGTAGGTCTAATAGTGTTAACATGCAAGTAACCCAAGTGTCCAACAATATGGGCACAGCAGAATAAATTATGGTACACTTAGACACCATGAACAGCCAGCCCTTAGTGAAAAATGAGAAAATGTCTGAGATAAATATGTATCCAGATCTGTAAAATAAAAAGACAAATTGCAGAATAGGTATACTATGACTGTTTTATAAAAACTTTATATGCATACAGTAAGTATACAAGCATGGAAAAATATCCAGGACAGCCAACCAAGTCCTTCGCCAGACTTTAGCATGGAGTTGTCACCTTTCAGTCTTGATCAATGTTTTTTCAGCAAGTGTTATCAAATTAACATGAAGATCTCCTCTCTCAAAATAAATTCTTGCCAAACTTTTTATCTCCTTGCTAACAGTGATATAGTGATCCACAAAGGACTTCTTTTTAAAAAGGACTTTTTATAAAGACTCTCCTTTGTAAAACATGCATGCTTCTTCATACATTCAAAATAAATGGATACACAAGACTCCACTTAAATGCTTTTCAGGGAACATAAAGGATAAACACACTCAGGAATAAATACTGTCATACTCCAGGTTCTCTTACAACACTCCAGTATGAAATATAAAATTTATATACATACATCCATGAGAACAGATTTTTCTCAAATCTTAAAAAAAGATATGCATCATATGCTTTACCTTTGCACTGGTGATTGTGCCAAATGGAGAAAACTCTTTCCGGAGACGTTCATCATCAATACCATCATCAAGATTTTTCACATAAAGGTTAACACCCTTAAAAAAAAAAAAAATTGGAAAAAGAAAACCACAGTGGTACTTAAACATACTTCCTATTAGCTTATCCTGTTTCCTCCTTGTTCCCCTCACACCCTCTGGTTGCCTGGCAGCAATTGAAATGAATATAGAATAGGCTTCCTCACTCCTGCCTTAGTTTTAATTGTTCAGTTAAAAAAGGAACCTGGTATCTGGTGATCCTATCCTGCTTCATCTGTTCAAATTTGCGCTTAAGTTCTGTCTGTCGTTCCACTTTTTTCTGGGCTCGACCAACATAAATTTGTTTTCCATTGAGCTCTTTTCCATTCATCTCATCCACAGCCTTATGGAAAAAAAAAAAATTTTAATTACTAGCTTGCACTATATGTAAGTTCATTTTTTAACAATAAAGAAAATGTTAGATTATAAAAGCTAAAGATAAAAAAAAAGCCATCACAAAAACTAAACTTTGAGGTTTTAAGACATAATATAGGTTTTCAATTTATATTCTCAAAACTAATACATGAAATGCAAGCAATTCAAAACAATACATGTGAAAAACAACATGTAGACTAGCCAGTGGTATGCTTGTGTATTTTGATGCAAGAGCAACTCAACTTTATATCCCCCATTTCTTATTATAAAATATGGAAAACCCACACTGCCTCTGATAAGTATATAAGTCTTACTTTTTGTGCATCTTCATGCCTTTCAAAGCTTACAAATCCAAAGCCTTTGGATTTTCCACTCTCATCAGTCATTACTTTCACACTTAAGGCAGGTCCTGAAAAAAATTTAATGATTCAAATATATTCCATACAACATTTAGTTTATACATTTCAAGTTTCAAAAAAGTTGTGCGGAAAAGAATATAAAAATGGGGATTAAAAAAAAATCCCAAACCTCCAGAAATTTATTCTTCCTCTTATTACCCTCTCTCCTATCACAGGCACTAAACATTCTCTTCAAAGACCCTTTACTTCTTCTAAGAAGCTAAGTAAACTCTTTCTCTGAAATATTCCTCCTTCCATTTAAGGAGGTATGTTTCAGACAAATGTAAATGACAAAGTTAATTTATTCTTAGCATTTAGTACAAAACAGATGCATTGCTCTAAAACAACTTGATTTTCTTAAGAATTCCTTAAGCCTTGGCCCACTTTATTTTCACCAGGAAGTAGAGGAGACAAAGGCCTTGACCTTTGGGGAAGATGAGACAGAGGCACCTAGAGATGGCATGTTTCTGAGACACACTTCTTCCCCACCAGCCCCCTCAATAAAATACTTAACTGAACTGGGTATTATTTTAGGGAGGTGGGGGAGAAGTTTAAAAAAAAAAAAATCATTTCTAATTACAGAGAATCTGCAAGATTTATGGGCACAGATAAGACTGTTTAGAGGGTTCAATGTGGCATGAAGGCTTGGCAATAATCAAGTATTACATTTCCTAATTCTTTATGATTTGAAATGCTCTTTAAAAAACAGGACACCTGTTTAAGTTAACCAAAAGGGAAAGCAAAGTTAAGGGGCAAGCAAATCATCTGCAAGAGTACAATGTGAGGTTCATCTTCTGATTAGCTATACAACTATCTAAAGTGAGACTGGTTACACTTCACTGGAAAATCTGGATCATTCAAAGTTATTATTTTAAATTGCTCAAACATGATGCTGAGACTGGCCAAATATCCTAAAGCTGACCAGCTTTCCTAACCCATAATTAAAGACTACATTCCAACCTAAGTTGGTTGTGTCACATGCAATGCCTCTCATCAGATGGGATCTGTTAGTGCATAAATCCAGCACAATTTCTTAACATAGCAAAACCTTTTAAAGTCTGTTCCAATTACACAGTGACAACTTACTGTGCTAACGCAAGGCTATTAACCTTTAAACTGGATAGAATTTTACTTATATGCTAGAATAGTGGACTATCAGTAGCTTAATCCAAATTAACTACAAAATTTAAGTACCATGAAGTCTCATTTATTTTTAGTATAAAATATTATCCAAAACTAACAATGTGAATATAAAAATTTAATTCAGACACATTACCAAACTTGCCAAAGAGATCCTTAAGGCGCTCATCGTCCATGTCTTCTCCAAAATTCTTGATGTAAACATTGGTGAACTCTTTTGCCCTAGCTCCAAGTTCTGCTTCTCGTTCTTTACGAGACTTAAATCTTCCAACAAATCTAATAAAATATGTAAGAACTATAAAATTAGGTTCTACTTTATGAAGTTCAGCTTAACTAAGCCTGATAGGTGATTCTGTAATAGTCACTGCTAATTTCAGAATCTCTAAAAAAGAGCACACTATAAAACAGAAATAGGGTCTTAAGTGAAAAAATAAAAGCACCAAATGTAACAAACCTCTCAACTATAACCACAAAAAAGGATATTTTCCCTAATATACCCCTTTGCCGTCCTTCTAGCTAACCTGGGTTAAGAAGATCATGTCCAGAAATGCAACGGAATGGAAGTACGTACGGAACAGGCCAGTGAGGAGACAAAACTTTCATCACTGTGCTTACAACATGGCTTCTTCCAAAACAGAAATTTACGCTACTGAATTCTGTCCTCATACACCCAACAGCCTGGGACGAATTTCTTTGTGACATTATCAACAAAAGTGTTTTAAAAATTAAGACTTTCCCCAGTATAAAAGTAATATGTACGTCACTAAAGAATACGAGAATAAACATCAAAGTAAAGATCCATCTCAGATAATTCCACCCGGAACATGACTGAATTTAGTGTCTTTTTGTTTTCTGTGTTTAAGTCTATCTAGCACAATTTCTTTTCAGAGAAGATACCTATGATTTTATTCCCTTAGAACCCCCCCCTCATCTCCCTCCTCCCACACGGTGGTGCTTCTCCATGCAATTAGTTTTATAAATGTTCTCAATGGGAACATAATATTCCATCGTGGAGAGCACAACTTTTTGCTTTTATAAATAATGCCATAACTTTTTACAAGACTGTTACTTTTTCTTAGGCTAGCACTGTAGAAATCACGGCAGTTTAAAGGTTATATAAATAACCTTAAGTTTATACCTACAAACTGCTTTCCAAAATAGGGTTATATCATTTTATACTCAGAAAACAGCAATAAATCAAGTTCTTAATCTAGACTGTCACCAGTGGTGACCATTTTCTCCTCTAAACCATTGGTGACAGGCCAAAGATATTTTCATCTGTAAATGCTAATGATGCTGAACATTTTTCTCATCTAAAGATGTACTAACTTTAAGAATCATCCTTTGTAAACATTGTTCATACTGAGAAGTTGCTGGTTTTCTTAGACATATTGGAGGCTCGTTACATATTCCTAATCTTTCCTTAAGCAGCAGGTGACAGAACTCAAAACAGCTAACACCACGTGCACGACTCCTTCGTGGACAGACTGACCGGACCACCTGCTGCAGATGTAAGTGATGCAGCGGACTTCTAGAGCCAAAGCCACTGTGTGCGCCGTTACCCCAGCTTACATGGCAACATGAACTCACACATCACTTACAAGGTGACCTCAAGGCGGAATCTGCCCAGATAAGAAAAACCCACTGGCATAGAAGATAAAAGAAAATTGAGATCTGTAATTTCTTTGGGCTCATAAAAACCTCTATTTTTACAACCTGTAGCAGAAAGCCTTACAGAGGTTTAATCAGTTTTCAACTTTTAATAACAAGTTTATTTCAGAAAAGATAAACCATGAAGACTTTTGATTTATTTCTGATTTATCTTCACAGAGAAAAGGGAGCCAAATTGTCACAACTACAACAATCGTTGTAGGAGTAAAGAATCTGCCTGCAAATCAAGAGACCCGGGTTCGATCCCTGGGTCGTGAAGATCCCTTGAAGAAGGAAATGGCAACCTACTCCAGTATTCTTGCCCAGAGAATTCCACTGAACAGAGGAGCTGGGCAGGTGACAGTCCATGGGGGCCACCAAGAGTTAGGACACAACTGAGCGACCAACAAGGCCAAGTAAAGAGCTACCCCGGGCTCTGAATTTATGCAACGAATTTGTATCCCAGTTTCTCTCTCATACCAGCATGTAAAACATAGGCAAATCACTTTAGCCCCAGCTTTGAATGTAAAATGGGCTAATTATCACCTTGAGAATATGACCAAGTTTCTGCCTGCATTTCTTAGTTTTTCAACTATGCATTTATTTCTGGGAAAGCTTTATATTTCAGCATACCTAGCTTCTCCTTTTTCTTTTCGGTTTGAATGTTGACCAGTTGTATGTATTCCCTGTTATATGTATGTTACAGTAACTATGGAGAAAAGACAATTATAAAATCTACCAAGATATGGTTTATTAATTTTCACTCTAGCTGTTATCTCTTTTGAGCACAAATATATTTCTTGTAAAATGGATGAATTGATTTTAACTATTAAAAACAGATTTGAAGTATGATTAACTTCATATTTATACTTACACTTTGCGATCATTTAGAAGCATCCCATTCATTTTTTCAATAGCTCTTTCAGCTGCTTCCTGTGTCTCAAAATGCACAAATCCATAACCCTTGGAACCATTTTCATCACAAACCACCTAGGGGAAAATGTATACCAATTTTTCATTACTTACTACTGATTTAGGATTCTTCCAATGTTCAGATAACTTGTCAGCTACCTTACCTCGGTGTTTGGGAAATAAAGATATCCATTAACAGAAAGCACAGTTGCTATCTTAAGGAATAAACTATAAGTAGCTTCCCCAAAGCTCAGTGGGTAAAGTGTGCCTGCAATGCAAGAGGTACAGGAGATGGGGGTTTGATCTCTAGGTTAGGAAGATCCCCTGGAGAAAGGATTGGCAACCCACTCCAGTATTCTTGCCTGAAAAACCCAATGAAGAGAGGAGCCTGGCAGGCTTATCGTCCAAAGGACTGCAAAGAGTCGGATGAGACTGAGTGACTAAGCACACGGCTACAACACTGTAATAAGTGTTCAGTTCAGTCGCTTACACTACCCACAACAGCTCCAGAGAAATTCCTAGATATATTTTTACGAGCATCACTTTAAAATTTCTTTTATTACTCGTTTAATTTTCATTTTTATAACCTACTATTACTAGACAAATTCCACCATTGATAGTTTGTTGTTTTGACCAAGTATTTCACACAGGGTTCTTTGACCTACGCCAGTGTTCCCAATTATCTTACAAATTTGGTTTCTGATAATCTAGTGAAAGATGACTGTGCTCAGTAAGAGCAAGAACCTTGTCTTATCCAACTTTCATCTTTGGGGCCTATTTAGGCTCTGACAGGAGTTAACAGAATGCTGGATCCCACCAAAAAGATATCCCACGTCCAAGGGCAAAGGAGAAGCCCAGCAAGATGGCAGGAGGGGCAAAATCACGTTTAGAATCAAACCCCATACTCGCCAGAGATGCTCAGAGGGCTCAAACAAAGCTTGCGTGCACCAGGACCCAGGGACCAAGCCCGAATTGTGGGTCAGCAGCAGCCTGCTGGGGGGCAGGGGCTCTGGGTGCAGCAAGCCCTTGTGGAGGAGGTCACCATTAACCCTACCTTAGAGCCACCAGAACTTACACAGGACTGGGGAGACAGACTGAGAGGGCCCAAACAAAACCTTGTACACAACAGGACCCAGGAGAAAGGAGCAGTGACTCCACAAGAGACCGACCCAGACTTGCCCCCGAGGGTCCTGGACTCTCCCGTGGAGGCATGGGTCAGTGGTGGCCTGCTGGAGGGTTGGGGGCAGAGTTCAGCAGTGCACGGGACCTTCTGAAGGAGGTTGCGCATTATCTTTATTACCTCCACCATAGTTTGGCCTCAGGTCAAACAACTGGGAGGGAACACAGCCCTGATCATCAACAGAAAATTGGATTAAGATTTACTGAGCATGGCCCTGCCCATCAGAACAAGATCCAGTTTCCCCCTCAGTCAGTCTCTCCCATCAGGAAGCTTCCATAAGCCTCTTATCGTTCTCCATCAGAGGGCGGACAGACTGAAAACCACAATCAGAGAAAACTAACCAATCTGATCACATGGACCACAGCCTTGTCTAACTCAATGAAACTATGAGCCATGCTATGCAGGGCCACCCAAGATGGGTCATGGTGGAGAGTTCTGACAAAACGTGGTCCACTGGAGAAGGGAATAGCAAACCAGTATTCTTGCCTTGAGAACCACATGAACAGTAAATTATGTTTACTTGTCACATTTTTGCTTACCTTACATGAAAGGATGTTACCAAAAGCAGAAAATGTATCATACAGTGCTTTATTATCAATGGATTTATCCAAATTTTTAATGAATATGTTGCCCACTCCACTTTTGCGAAGTGATGGATCACGCTGAGACCACATGATGCGTACTGGCTTGCCCTTTATCACATCAAAATTCATGGTGTCCAAAGCACGCTCCGCTGCAAAACAGGACATTTTCAAAGTAAATATTATTCAAAACTTTTACAGTCTACTTAATATAATCTACTGTGGAGGGAATAATTGAGCACATAACCCCTCTACCTCTTTAAACTGAAGATGGCTGGACTTTACACCTGTCAGTCTAGATTTATATCATATAACACAAAAAAGACACAAGTATCAAGAAATCCCAAATTTCCCACATGTTAACAGATGACATATTGTTTAGAACTAACATATTTCTGAAGCAATCTCTTCCTTTAATTGCCATGAAATTTAAAAGTGCTTTTTTGTTCCTAATCAACTAGAAAAACAGATTTCCTTCACAATCTGCTTGATAAGCAATATAAAAAGACACTAAAAGCAACTATAGATTATCCACAAGCAGAGCAGTTTACAGATTTTCAAGCATTTTAACTTATTCCCTACTACTTGTTAAAAATGTTTTATTACTTATTCCTGTCAGTATTACACAAAAGCTAGCCCATCTTCTAAAAAAGTTCCTGGCTTATTGGGGGGGGGGGGTTTCAGTGACTCATGGCACAACTTCCTACTACCATGTTAAAAAAAAAAATGAAAGGTTCTATCCATTCAGAAATATTTGAGTCATGCCTTTAAAAACTAATGTGAAGTTGAGCATATTTAGCTATTAACAAAATTTTTAAAATAACCTGGTTTACAATAGTCCAACTTACTATTAATACATATAAAACCAGTTTTATCTTAGATCATTTACTTAAGAACTAATGATTAGTTACTTCTGGATAGTGCTAGAAAATTTCAAAATCTGAGTTCAGAGTCTACAAAGGATCAAATTATGTGCACCTGTACCATTAAAGAAACACTTATTAAAGAAGTTTGGACTCTAAATGGAAAAATGTATCTTTAAGTAGAAAAGACTAGTTCCTAAAGAAGGGACACACACAGTCCATATGAAGTTCTGAAACATCAATTTTCACAAATGCCATGCTAGTGTTAACTGTAAAGTTAGTGAGAAACAAATTTTCCAGCCATTTCTCTCTATAAATGAAAATTTCAGTTTCTAGAAGATAGTGACAACCAGCTGTCAGCTCATTTATCAATTGGCCACACCTACTCAGCTCCCCTAGTTTTTTAGCTGACTTTGCTTGAACTTCTTTTGAATGAGTCACCTTTTCCTGTTAAATTGGAAACTGATCACTTTTAGAAGCTATTCTACAAGTGCACCAATGTAGCAAAATAAGGAGAGTAGAAGGAAAATCACTTAATTATTTGTAAAGAGAACAATCTGTATAAATATAGGAATAAAATAAACTGAAGATGGAAAAATGCTACCTTCTTTGCAGTAGTTACAGTACACGTCTATTGGTATAGAGGATAATACACAGTGAGTGTACTGTAACCATGGTAACCTAAACTTTTAGAATCCCAAGAAATTAAAAATTTTTTTTCTGATTTAAAATTGTTAAGTTTAGAAACTGTTAAGTCAGTTTCAAAAGTTCACATTTCTAGAATTTGTTCGTTCAAATTTTCTCTATCAAGCCTTCAGTTTGTGATTATCTGCACCCAAATTACCTTCCCTGATCTTCCATTTAGTGATAAACTTGATCAGAATTGGGAAGAATCCTTACAGAGAGGCATTTGGAACTACTGCCTACAGAGCAAAGGGCAGAAAACCTGCAGTGCAGTTTTACAACTTGGTGTGGTTCAACAGCCTGTCTACCCCCAAATCTCAGTATTAACTTTACCTAGTGAAAAACTGATCACAAAATAATTCCTTAACGAGATAAAAGTTTTAAATTCCACCTTCAAGGCCTTTCCTACAAAAACTAATTCCTTATGTTTTATAATACTTGACATATATTCAAGTAGCCAAGGGAAAAAAGGGCAAAAATGGATCATAAAATTAAGTGAAAATGACTTTTTCAAGTCAATTGATTCAGCTATATAAAGAAAAATCCTGGCAACTCATCAGGCCACATATCTATTTGCCAAATATTCGAATTTTTGTGAACTGTTTAAAAATATAAGGTTAATCGAATCTTTTTCCCATACATTCAAACTAATTAATCCCTTACTTTTCACTCAATCATTCCCCATGATGTATGAATATAATGGACCACTTTTATAATCACCACTAGAATACCACATAAGTATAATGGTCTAGTACACACTACACTCACAAGCAACATTTTACAGTCAAAATTGGGGACGACATTTTTAAGTAAAATCCTTCAAAACCAGAGTCGATTTCAGGAGATGGAAAAAAACAAACCCCGAATTACCAGTACCACGAAACTAACTAGATTTTAAAAATCAAAACTAACTAAATTGCCTGAGAAAACGATGGGTCATCTTCTACATCCCCTCCCTCTCTCCGAACTTGCTGCTTCAAGAACTGTCTGAACTAAGGGAAAACCCCCAAAGCAACGTCTCGGTAATTTACACTTCTGGAGCCGTCAGTCACACACACGTTAGTGAGAGTGGTCGCAGAAACCTGAGGAAGACCACCAGAGCACCAGATTAACTTTATTCCAAGTCCCCGCGGCTCCCTCAGGCGACTGGACCCGCGACAGGGTACAGGCCTCGGGCCTTGGAGGTTACCGGGTTCAACACGTGGTATTTTTCGAGCACCGAAATGCACTTCCTCCCTGTCCTGGGGCGCCGGCAGGAGCCTGGGGGTGGTGGGACCGCCTCCACCGACTACCGGAGAAGGGGATCGGCGCTCGACACCCCCCAAGATCTCGCCGCTACCGGGGGGAGCACCGCGTCGTGTTAGAACCCAACCTCACCAACCCTCCGGGCGCGTCATCACCCTAAAGTTTGAGCGCTGCTGAGGCCGAGAAAATGGTCGCGGAAAAGGAAGTGGCCGGGCGCGCGAGGGGCGTGCGGCTGCCGGCGGCGCGGGGCCCGGCCGGCGCGGGGAGCCGGGGTCCTGACGCCCCAGCCTCTGCCCGCTGGCCTCGGGTGGGGTGACATGCCCTCCCGCCCCCTCCCCCCCGGGCCCGCCGGCCTAGCCCGCCCGCCGCCGCCTGAGCCTCATGGCCGCCCGCCCGGCCGCCCGCCCGCCGGGCCCGGCTCTCACCGTCCGCCGGCTGCTGGAAGTTCACATACGCGTAGCCCAAGGAGCGGCGGGTGATCATATCCCTGCAGACCCGGATGGAGAGGATGGGCCCGGCCGGGCTGAACTTCTCATAGAGCATCGCCTCGGTCACATCGGGGTGTAGGTCCCCCACGTAGAGCGAGGCCATGGGGTAGCTGGGGGCGCTGGGGTTCATCTCGGCACGGCTGCCTGCAGGGCCACAGGCCGCGCGACCTTTCCCGTCAGAGGAGGGGAGAGAGTGCCGGGGCCGGGGGGCCGGAGCCGGGGGGAGGGGAGCGGGGGCAAGCGCAGAGGGACAAAAATCAACCGGAATCGGGAACTACTCAACGGCCGCAGAATCGGGTCGATCCGCTGCCGCTGGAGGCTTGGCTGCTGGCTGCCGGCTGGGGAGCGAGGGTGGCGGTGTCGGGTCCGGGCAGCGGGAGAAGGCCTCGGTCTCTTGGTTCCTTCTTGGAGCTGCTGCGGGGCCGCGGGCGGGCGGGTCGGTCTCGGCTGCTTCACCGGGTTATTTTATAAAAGAGGAAGGAAAAAAAAAATAAAAGTCTCCGGCGGGGGAGACGCGGATTTTTTTGTAAATTTTTTTTGGGGTTTTTTAAAAGATTTTTTTAGATTTTTTTTGGATTTTTTTAATAATAAATGTGTGTTCCGAGCCCGGAGCACACACTCCGCACTCTCAGCACTAACCGCCGGGGAGAAGGGGAAGCACCGCCTCCTGCACCCTCTACTTATACCCCCCGCCGCACTCGCCCCGCCCCCCGCGCGTCTGACGCCAGGGCCCTACGCGAGCGTCAGCGCCGGAGGGGGAGGAGACAAGGAGGCGGAGGGGGAGGAGGGAAGAGAAAAACAGGAGGAGGAAAAGAGCAGAGAGGAAGGGAGAGGAGGTGGTGGAGGTGGTGGTGGTGGTGGCGGCGGCGGCGGCTGCGGGTGTAGGGGGTGGGGCTGGGACGGGGCGGGGCTTCTGCGCACGCGCCGGGGTCGGGGGTGGGGGTGTGGGCGGGCCCCGCGCGGCGTAGGGCCCGTGGGGGAGGGGAGGGGAGGGCCGGCTCGCGGGCGGCTCTCTGAGGAGCCGGGTGGGCCGGCCCCTCCTCCCACACACCCCGCCCCACCTCCACCCGGGAGAGGCGTTGAGCCGTCACCAGGGCGGTGGGCGGTGCACGGGGCTTCCGGGTTTCTCGGCGCTTAACTACCCCCCACGTGCGCGACCCCCAACAGCCCTCTTCCCGCCACAGCCAGTCGTTCCACTCGCCCCCCCCGCCCGCCCCCTAGGGCCGCCAGGCGAGAGTGGGCCGGCGTGATTCCCCCAGGCCTAGTTTCCGCAACGTGGGCGAAAAGGAGCCCAAGCTGGCTCCCCAGTTCTCCTACCAGACCGCACTACGAGTCCCAGCGGGCATCGCCGCCACGCGCCTTGGCCGCGGAAGCGGTGCCTGCTGGGAGCTGGAGTCTTCAACGGCCGCGGCGCTCGCTGACCCCCAACCGGCCGCGGGTCCTGGCCGCCCCCTCGGGGGCCCACTCATCCCCGCCCCCCGCAACCGTTCCAGCTCCGGACCTAGGTCGTGCTTCCAATAGAGGACCGGGGAGCGGAGGGGCTCTCGGACTCCCGGGCCTCTCCATTCCGAGCCCTTAAGACTTCCCGGGTCTCCCATCTGGGTGCTGTCGTTGGTCAGCATGATTTTAATTTGGGCAAACTATTTTGAGGTCTCTGTCCGCTTCCGTTTTTAAAGTACCGTGATCACAGGGTGGAGTCACTGATTTCGTGCTACTTCTGCCAGCAATTTGAAACAGAGAACAGGACTCCAGAAAAATGTTTTCCTGCAAAGTGCGACTCTGTCACAGTCGTACATGGCTTCACAGACTTGCAACCAGGCATAATTAGAAATCGCCTAAACACAGTATTAGAAATGTGTACAACAGTTGTGGAGTTAGTTGGGGGCTTTAATAGGAAGGCTATTGCAAAAATACCAGTTGATAGGAAAGACATTAAGTCAACATACAAATCCCACTTCAAAGTAGTACTGAACTTTACAATTTTTACGCTTGATCTTAGCCAAAAGGCCGAGAAGCGATGTACTTTACAATTTTTAAAGCTTTAGCATCTTTTGTTCCCTACAGCAATCTTGTGTGGAAGGTGAAGCGAGAAGTAATAATTTTATTTTACTGTTAAGAGAACGGTCTCAAATGACTGTCCAATTCATTCTTTAATTCAGTAAACTTTAAGGCACGTTAAATATATCTTTGGTTGTGGACTGGGTACTTTATTCTCAATTCAGATTTAAACCTGCAGAATCCCACATAAGTGCTATTTTGCCCCTATCTTGGTAGGAAGAGGATAATACTGATATTTTGGAAAACAAGTTACCTTATGTATTTTATTAGGCAAAAGAGCAAGACTGGAGACTGAGGACTGTGCATTAGGAAGACAGATCTTATCCTAGATGACAAATCACCATTATTAGAACTCTGTAGTTAAAGTCAGTCCATCCATATGTTTATTGAATACCTACCAAGTGCATCTGGATGTAAGGAAGATACTTGACAGACACAAGTTTCTTTCCTCAGGAGTCTTCTAATGAGCTCTCTGGTAATCATATAAATAAAAGCATTACAGTGAGTACAGTAAACATCCAATCCCAGTGTTTTATCTGGCTGTGATGATTTTCTATTAAGATTCTAAACTTGTTTTCTTAAAAAATGAGGATGGAAATTCCGTTGTTTACTTTAAAAGAAAATATGACTTCATTTTAGTATTTTCATTAAATTACTGAACAGAGTATAAGAAAATCAGACAAATGAAAGAAGAAGTACACTAATTAAAAGAAATGTGAAATGAAATCACCACCTATAACTTGGAAATTCGATCACACCAAGAGCTGAAACCACTAAAAAACATATATAATTGCTAAGAGTATCCACACCTCTGGTAGAGAAAGATGAGGGTGCAATTTCTGATGGAGCTCACTGAAACATCATTGTAAGTAATAAAAGGGGGGGGGGGGGGGATGGTCTGCTTTGAATCTAGAAAATTTTGTAAGAGAGCGGAAACTTTGGCAAGCACTCTAAAGTGGATGTGGGTTCTCCAGTCACTAGAAAGGGCTTATTCTCAGTTTTCACTAGCTGCTGGATTAAATAACTCACAGAAGACTTCTCTTTGTTATAATCCATTTTGAACAAACAACCTCCCAATTACTAGTTGAACCCCCAGGGCACCTTGACCCAGGAAAAGATGCTCTAGGTGGTAGACAAAAGTATTTTTGTCTGGAAAGGTATATCAGTTCTTTGTAGATTAGTAAATACTGTGGGAATCAAGTTGGTCAGGATTCCTGTGCAGCTGTGGTTCTTGACGTTTAGTTGGTGTCACTGTCATATTTTAGGGAGCTACAGCTGAGTCTGTACAGGGAGACTAGAAGCAAAGTCCATCCGTGAGAGGAGGAAGCTAATAGAGTCAGGAGGAGACAGAGGCCACCTTAGGAGGAAGAAGAGTGGGATCTGGAACTGGAATCAAGAACCTGTTCCCTTGATCCATCATTCACCTCTTTAGCTTCAACCAGCTCCTTTCTCTCCAATTAGAAACCTGTTTTTCTGATTAAAAGTCAAGACAAACTTTCCCTCAGTGACAGATTTCTAACTTACTTTTTTCACAGCAAAGATTTTTATTTCCACTTCCCTTTAATTCCTCAGCATGAGCACTACACTGACTTTCTGCACCTGCACCTCCCCAATTATTGCCCTATCAACAGTCATCAATGACCTCCATCTGTCAATCCAATGGATTTTCTTGTCCATACTGTTCAATACCTGAAGGATCTGACTCTGTTTTTCTCCTCCGTCTCTCTTTTTTTTCAACACATTCTCTTGACTTCTGGGAGGCAACTCTCCTGGTCTTGTCCTGCTCTCAGACTTATCCCCTGTCTCCTTGCCCCCAACCCCGGACCACCAGATTGGGCTGGGTACTCTTCTTCTGATCTTTACCCTCACCACTCCTCTGCTGCTACATTAAGCACATTATGTTACCGAACAAAATAGTCTGTTCTTAAGCTGTCTCTTCAAAATAGGCTGTAAGCTCCAAAAGAGAGTCTACGTGCTAGTTGTGTCTGACTCTTTGCGACCCTATGGACTGTAACCCGCCAGGCTTCTCTGTTCATGGGATTCTCCAGGCAAGAATACTGGAGTGGGGGGTCTAGATTCTATTTATCTGTATTCCCAACATGGAGCATGAAGGCTGGCACATTGGAGATGCTTTTTTCTTTTTTAACCTACTTCAGGGAGAAGGCCAGACAGGCTTGTAGACTAACCACATAGGTTGGGGGTTAATAGTGGGCTCTCAGTCTGACGTTCATGTGGGAAGCTAGGGCTGGGTTCAAGTCCAGACTTCGTGGCCTGCCACAGTGCACTACTCCCAGACTCTGCACACATGGGACAAGCTAATAGGAAGTATGTTTAAGTGCACTCCCAAACAGAACTTCTGGATAAAAGGAGTTTGGGGACCTCCAAAGCAGAGGACACTGTGCATGGCAATGCCATTAGTGTTCTATCACCTTTCAGAGGCTACCAGACAGCTTCCCTCTCTGACTTCAACAGTGTGATCATTTCTGACAAAGAGAATTAAGGCTACAGGTAAAAAGTAGAAGATAGACTACGTGTCAATTCCCTTTGACTTTTTGATTCACCACTCTCATTTTTCTCTCCAATCATTTCTTTTTGGTCTTAAAAAAAAGCGTGCTGTCTATGTTTATCTGGCTTGCCTGTGTATTTCTAATTTTAGATTGCAAGCTGTGGGATAGGATAATGTCTTCATATGTGTAGCATCTCACTGTGGGTGCCTAAGAATGTCTAATGACATCAACATCATTCAATTAACCTGTTTTTAATCTTAGGCAATAAAATGTAAAATTCTCCAGAGAACTTGTTCATTTGAACCTCACTAGAGATTTATAAATAATTTTCAGGCTATATCTAGGATATATTTAGAATATATCCAAAACAATTTATAGTATTTCACGTAATGTATGACAAACTAAAGTTGACTGGCCTTATAAGATCTTTGGATAATACTGAGAGATATATTTGAGCTGAATAATAAAGTAATATAATAGCGCCTCCCAACTGAAAGGATATACTTTGCATAGATCCTTGAAAGAAAAAAATATTAAACAATGTCCATGATAAGACCCAAGCTATACAATGTTTAAGAATATTAACTACTGCTTCATTGGTTTGCTGGGTTGGTGAAGAATATAGCACCTACTCAAATTTGTAAACTGTCATGCTCATAATCAGAAAGATTTCCTATAAGAGCCCCATTCAGATTTTATGTTTTCTTCCATATACATTACGTATTTTCCTCATACCAAAAGAACAAAGGGATTTATACAAGTTTGAAAGTGGTTCTGACATTGTGTGTCAGATGACATAACATGACATTAGTTCTGAGAAAATGGCTGCCATGTACCAAGATACAGATCTTGAAACAAAGACCCACTTAGAGTCATAAACGTTGACTCATAAGCAGAGAAGCAATCTTGGGAGAAAAGGATAATTAATGGCTTTATAGTGAAAGAGAATAAGAAACTTAGAGAAATTTCAGCATACTTAGGTCTCTTACAAAATGCTCTTCTGATGGCATAGCCATCTGTGTTAGTTAAATCACTATCATTCTTTGGTATAATGATAACAACAGGAATACTGCTACCATAGGCATACCACCACCTAATAGGATTATTGTGAGACCCAAATAGGATATGATATGTAAGCTTAAATTATATAATGCACAATGCTACCATTGATTGAACAGTTCCTAGTTTTGCAAATATAAGCACATATCAATTTGGCAGATTCTAAATTCAAATCCATGGCAGAAATATTACTCAGAGACATACATATACAGACATACAAAAGATACAACCATTACTGTCCTAAGCCAATCTGGAGAACAGAAAATTGCAATGGCTACATTAAGACAGTGTTAAATGTCAGATGAATAACAATAGTAAAACTAAAGTCAATTATCTAGGTTGTGGATTATGTGAGGAGGGGCTCAACAAGAGAACTTTGAAATGGATTCTATTCTAGGACCATGGCACTAATAATCTAAGTACATAAATTAAGCTATAGAGAATGACAAAAATATATTTCAGGTAAATAGAAATTTTATTAATACTAAGAGCTAATATTTGTTGAGTACTTACAAGCCTCTTCACAACGACTCTATCAGATATGAAACAATACTGCCAATGAGGAAACCAAGGCTTAAAGAAGTCAAATAACCTTGATTCAAACATAGGTAGTGCAAGATCAAAGGATAAAATCTTTGATCTGGGAATTAGGGAACTAATACTTGGAATAAAAAGAGGAAAGAGCATTGTAAGGTGGAGGAAATAACATCAGGAATGTCATGGAGGTGGGAATAAGCAAGATGTGCTGAGCATATGAGAAAATCTTATGGTTGAAACATGGCACACAAATTGCAGTAAAGGCAAGTGAAAGAGTGAAAGAGAGGGGCGTAACAAGGGAAAAACAGATTAGGGCTTAACTATTGGAAAACTAGATTGGGGATTTATTACTAGAAAAATAAACTGGGGCATGGGATCTAATCTTGCCATCTGTAGATTATCAGAAGGTAATTCTGGTGGCAGTGTAGAAGTATTGGTTTGAAAGAGGAGAAAAGGGAGAC